TGTTTTCTGACCGTGTTCAAACAAAGAGCCAGTAGTCCGTGAGACTCAAAAACCTCATGTAAATAAAAGTGAGACGGTTGAGAGTGAGTAAAAGGTACGTCGTGGGCAAGAAGCTTTTATCTCAGAACTTAATTTAATTCCCGAAAGACTGATGCGAAATTGGGTAAGTGCAGTTCAGCCCAACGAGGTGAACACCTGTGCCTATCACCCTCTAACGCTCACTTTCTCCGACGACTGCTAGCTGAGAGGTGTGGCTCTTTGACCTTATGCCGACTGCGTATTCAGTAAAAGTGCTCAGTGTGATGCACATATACGGCATTCTGGAGAATCCCAGCTATCGAGGGCCAAGCAAGGTAAGTGACCGTTTACTACGTCACATATGACTGCGAAATACTCCACGATGAAGTCTTATCTTATGGGGTGTAAATGCACGAATTCGAATACGAATACGTACTATATCTGTAGTGAAAGATAATTTCTGATTATCTCTGATCAAAAAGGTTCGGGCTACTTGTACATCAACGAGTGTTGGCGACAAAGGTAAATCATATTACTCTTTAGTGGATATCACGTTGGTACCATAGTTCATTCAGATTAAAAGTTTACGCGAATCAAATCTATTTTGACCGTCCCTAAACCGCCTCTAAAGAGTTTGAGGAAGATTTTGCCATCCCCTGGATAGCTTCGGTTATTTAAACGCAAAAAATCGTCACACTTAAATTCACTGAAGCCTTCAACAGATCAACAGTCAAGTGTATGACAAATAACTTTAAGTATCCTGGTTAATAGCCAATGCCGTTCATAGGTGGCTTATCACTATCGCAAATAGCAATGTAGTCGACGTAATCAAGGTCAATAAAGATGCGAAATATTTGCTATATTACTTGGGTGAGACTGAAGATCAAACATCCACTGCGTACTTTATATTAGAGGCGGCATCTGTGAAACCACGACTTTGATGACCCGTTGCGCAATGCGTCAGGGGGGCGGACAACTTCACTGTATTTTTAAGCGAATTCAGTATTTCAGAGCAGAAAACGTGCGTGATGACAACATAATTAAAGTGAGATTTACGAAAGAGATGGTGAACTTGGTTACTGATAAAGCTTACGAGCAAGCGATACCAAAGCGCACACTACTTTCAAAATTTGATTTATGATATGCCGTTCACGTGGTAAATTTTGGCATGTTAGAACCAATTAACGTCTCGCGTGCTATTGATCAATGATGGACTGGGTTAAATGGAAATGTTTAAGCTGTTTAGTTGACATTGGTGATGATGGCGCGAAAGCCCATTATGTAGTCCACCTACACCACTACAAGATTAAGTCCACTGGATTGTGAAAGGTATTGCCAAATGCATGCCTTTATATGTGTGAGTAAACTTGCAAAGGTTGTCTTACAGCTGTGCATCCTACGAAATGGACAAGTTTTTATATAGCTAGTACAAATGTGCAGCTTTTACAGTGGATGTCATTTGTCCAAACAGAAAGGTTTGTGTGTTATTAAAAGGGATCCATTGAACGTGTTGGTTCCCTAAAAATTCGTATCCAGTTTTCGCTATCT